AATTTAAACGGACTAAAAACAAAAACAAAAAAAAAAAATTTTTGTTTTTTTTTAACTTCAGATAGACAAAAAAAAAAAAAAAAACATAGACCTGTCTTTTTATTTGGTGTATATAAACTTCTGGTTTCAGCAGTACTAAGGCGTACATAAAACTGATTGTAATTTGCTGATACAAAGAATATAAACTGTGCATTCAGATAGGAGTCAAATTAAAAAGAGAATAATGTTCCTGACATGCCATGATGCAGAAAAGGAAAAAAAACAACAAAAAAAACATCCACCATCTCCCCATTTTCTGTAACACCTGTAGGTCCAGATGCCGTCACAGTGACTGCTGTGGTGAGAGGCCCAGCGAGATGCCTCCTCCTTGGGGAGCGCCCTGCTCTAAACTGCCTGAGTCGCGCCTCGGGGATCGCCACCCGCTGCTCTCAGCTCCAACTGACGGCAAAGTCTGCGGGCTGGCACGGAGAAGTGGCTGGCACCCGTAAGACCACCCCGGGCTTCAGGCTGGTGGAGAAGTACGCCATGCTGGTGGGCGGCACATCCATGCACAGACAGGACCTGAGCGGCATGGTGATGCTGAAGGACAACCACGTCTGGGCGTCGGGGAGCATCACAGAGGTGAGCAGCTGCAGCAGACATTCGGTGGTTCAAGATGAACAAACAGGAATACGGTGCTCAGATGATCACAGCGCAACAGCTTTGCATCTTCAGTTCATACAACGGCATGTCAAATTTTGTGGGGGCGCCACCGCACAACAGATGGCACAAATCCACCAGATTTTGCCAGCTACAAACAGTGTGAGATGTAATTTTCCGTTTCTATAGCAACAAAACACAACACAAGATGACATGGTCTTAAAAGGGTTTAAAATGTTGCTGAACAACCAAAACATTTCCAAAAAGGAAACCACAACCAGGCAACCTAAAATGTTTAAAAACTTTACTAGTAAATCATTAACCAAGTCGCAAGACAAAATGAGTTTCCGAATTTTACAACAAGAAGCTAACCATGAATTACTTCTTAATAAGGAGCATTATTCTCATACTAATATTTTCTTTGCTTATATACAGATGAGTCCCATGCAGATATACATTAGGGTTTCATTTTCAATACTTACTGAGTTTCTTTTGTAAAGCTCGAGGTCTTTATTTCATGGGAGAGAAAGAGGAACCAGAAATTGAACCCAGAACAGCTGCGCTGAAGACCAGTCGCTGTGCACGGGGTTCCTGCCTGACCCACAGCACCATGCTGTGCCGCAGGAGTCCAGCTTAGATAAATAAAATACACAAGGGTTTTTTTTGGGGAGGGGGGGGGGGGATTCTATCTAGTGCATGCCTCTCCAAGTCAGAGAGAAACTCTCCATCTGAGACACACATATCTGTTGAAAATGTTATTCTGATAAGAATGACACCTTAAAGCACCGTTTTTTTTTTTTTTTTTTTTTTTTTTACATACAGACATTGCAAAAAGAAAGCCTCTTTGCTTCAGTGGTCATTTTCTGTAGGATGCTATCAGTCTTTTGCAATGTTGTGAGGGAATTATGGCTCATTCTTCTTTTCAAAGAAAGTGGGAAGTCATTCCTAAAGGCCTGCCTGGAGATGTCACCACAGGGAATTGATTGGATTGGGGTCTGGACTTTGACTAGACCATTCCATCGCCTTGATTCAGCCACCCTGTTGTAGATGTGGAGCTGTGTTTGCAACCTGACGTGATCTAGTTTGAGACAATCTTCAGATGTTTTCCAGATGGTCTCTCACTTGCAGTCAGAAGATTGTGGGTTTGATTACAGCTTCCCTCTGTTAGAGTTCCCAGGGCCAGAATTAGTGATTCCGGTTGTGTGAATTTAGTTCTAGAATGACAAGTGGTGAGCATGGCTTGAAAAATGTCTTCATAAATTCAGCTACTGGATGATCATGAGCACAATGATTTGAATGTGGCCAGGTCGTGTGGGCTCAAAAAAGCCTAACTCATCACACCTCCATCATGAAATTTGACACTTGGGTATGAGGTGTGTGTGTTTAGAATATGGTTTGGTTTCTCATTCCAAACAAACATCGATGACATGATTTATTCAGATGAACTTTTGAAAACATAGTTTATGTCGACATCATGTTTTTTAAAGAGAAGAATCTTGGAAACCGTTCAAAAATATGCCTTTCTTGTTCTGCTTTTCAAAACTGTCTGTGATTAACTTAAAAGGACAGTAATATATATAATCCATTGTGCCATTTTACAGCACAATCAAGTAAAACTTAATCAAGTAAATTAGTTACTTCAGTTAACTAACTTATTTGTTTATAGAAATACTGCATATATCAAACATGACTAAAAAAGTTTGATTTCCAAATCTGACGCCTTGAAATTCGGCCTCTGTCTCTTAAAGAAACTTCTGCTCTTTCTGACACTCTGACACAACATTGCTTTTCCATTATTCTGTTAACAACAGTTCTTAGGAGAACTGAACTGAGAAGCAGTTTGCATGCTGAGCTCAGCAGATGTGCCGTTCCACCAGGTGTTTGCCAATCACTGCTGACGTTAGTCTGAAGGAGCAGAGTGGGCGAGGTGGGGGGGACGGGTGCTCTGTGAGGCAGAAGCCTACATCTCCCAGAAGGAGCTTCGTGGAAATAAGTGGTGCTGTCTGTGACTGTGAGCAAGCATTCATTACGCAACCCTAATGTCCTTTTAGTTTCTTCGAACTTCATGCATTATTTATTTTTCTGAGATTACTGTCAACCCTGATTCTCCTTTCGATTCCGGCTTCTATTTGGTCATAGTTCACCTTTGGTTCACCTCAGCTTCCCTGCCACTTTCCTTGCCACAGCTTTCATCATTAAGCTGCCAGGTTCTCTTTGTACTTTGTCTCTGCAGTTAGTCCCTTTGAACGCACCTGTCAGTTATACAACTCACCTGTTTTCTTTCTTGTTCTTTTCTGAATGTTCTTGTTGCCAGATTCCCTGTTCTCTTCATTTTCATCTCATGCTGTTCCAAGGTGCTTCAGTTTAAAAAAAGTAAAAATAAATTATCACCATGCCATATTTTAGCAGTCGTCTGTGCACCGACTCTGCAAAAACCTTTATGATGAGAACATCAGTAGTTTTAGTCTGGAGTCCAACTTTTCATTACTTTTCTTTTGCTACTGCAGTTTAATGTTTCTTCCTTTGTTTATTGTGTTATGTTTTTATCACATGAAGCACTTTGAATTGCTTTGTTGCTGTGAATTTATACAAATAAACTTGATGATGATGTCTTGTTAATTGGTTCAATAGGATATGAAATATCCACAAATGCTTAAATAGGACAATTTTAATGTTGATACCAACAGCACTTATATCTCCAGGCAGTTGTGATTATAAGCTGTGTATAAATCTTTAGCTGGCTCAAGTTTTATGCATTCACATAGTTCTTCAAATTTCCAGCATTCAGTCTTCTGTGTGAAAATTCACGGGTAGCAGATAAAATCCAGTAGAGCTTTTTTTTGTCCACTTGCTAATGACTCTTAATCACATAGGAAAACTGATTTAGAAAAATATGGCTATATTGCACTCAATTTGCAAAACAAATCTATTGGAATCGACTTATTTTATGCGTTAGAACAAATTAGAACACATTGTTCTCTGACTGAAGAGAAAGAAGAAGCAGCATAATGTCATTCTGGACATAATGCTGCTCTAGCAGAAAACTAGAGGAACTGCTAAGACATTCACATTTCACTCAGATTTAAAAGGATTGCTAAACTCTACATCATTTTAGTTATAGTTATTAAGAGTCACTGTGGCTAAATGGCCACATCTAATCTGACAGACTTTTCCTAAGGAATAAAACTGGATCAGATGGAGTGTTATAGCTGCAAATGGTTCATCCAGATATGTTTAATCTACAACATAACTGTGATGATCCATAAGACATGAAGGATCGTGTCTTATGCCAGTTACCCTCCTGGGGTTCCAGTTGGGGCAACTGGAACCCTGCTGGGGTTCCATATAAATGTCTGAAGACTATAAATGTCTTCAGAACCTAAAGCACTTAAACGAAGTGAAAGATCTTCTTTTGTGATGAGCAGATGCTGCTTTCCTAATATTGACGTGGTCAGTTGCTATGCACTCTTTAAGTTTTAATCGAGAAAGGTACTTTGAATCATGTTCTTATGTACAGTCATCAACTTTTTTTTTAAAATCTAAAAAATGATCTGTTCTTACATTCAGCTCACCAGAACAAGTCTGAATTTAAAAGTAGGGAGAAAAAAATGTGGCATATTGAATCTGCTGGCATCTATTAGTAATGTCATTCTTTAAACCAACGCCTTCTTTAACATCTCGCAGTGATGTCCATGCAAAGTTTGGTTAAACTTAATTGGGAGTTTGCTTGGTCTTAAAGTCAAGTCTTGCCTCCTTGTTTAACATCTATTTTGTTTCTTCACAAAAAAATAACAACTCTGGTCTGTCTTTTTGAATTGTTGCAAGGGCCGATGGCTCATAGCACACTTGACACTATCACACTTGACACGGTGACAATGATAAAGCAGTGTTAAAACATGTCTGTTTTTGTACTCTGAAAATAACCAGTGATCCCCACATGACTGACAGATGTCCAGAGTTCAGGCACCGTTCTCTTACTTCTGCAAAAGACAAACTTAGAATCCTGTTTGTTTCTCAGGCCGTGAAAGTGGCGCGCTCAGTCTGTGGCTTCAGCAGTAAGATTGAGGTCGAGTGCCGCTCCACAGCGGAGGGAAGAGAGGCAGCCTCAGCCGGAGCAGACATCGTCATGTTGGACAACTTTCAACCACAGGTAGGGCATTTCAAAACTCTTAAGTTCAAGAAATAAAACTTTAACTGCAGAACTATCAAGCACCCATTTCCACATTTCTCCTTTGCAGGAGCTTCACGTTGCAGCGCGAGACCTGAAGAACGAGTTCCCATCTCTTCAGATAGAGGCTAGCGGAGGAGTCACTCCTGAAAACGTAGCTTCATATTTCTCCTCACATGTAGACATTATTTCTCTGGGTTGCATCACTCAGGGATGCCCAGTTTCAGATTTTTCTCTGAAAGTTCAAAAGCCAGGTGAAAAAAACAAGTGATTGCTAAACTAATTGTTGTCATAGCAACAATGGCAACAATTACAAAACTTCACAGTTTTGTGACTATAATTGAATAGTGGAAAGAAAGTAACAGATCAGTGCAAAAAATATAGACATATAAAATACTGCATTTGCTTGCATCCAGTGCAGTTGACTATATTACTATATAGACTCAACTGGTGGCCCTCCCCCCCTTGCAAACAGTGAGACACGGTGGTGGCAACATTACGGGGTGGGGATACTTTTCAAAGCGAAATTTTAGGCTATTCTGGGAGAGAAAAATACAGTTTGACCTTTCAAAACCTTTAGGAAAATAGATTTATGTTTACTGCTGAATTATAATTTAATGCAAATAGATTCATGTGTGCATATATTTTAGCAGAGCACTGTAAATAAAACAAAAATCTTTTGTTTCTGTTGTGGAAAAGTTGCAGAGGTTGTTCATTGATTAATCACATCTTGTTTGTCATTTCAAAAGAAGAATAGAAACTGGATTTGACATGCGACGGATTTGTAAAATACACTTCAGCAGAGGAACTGCAGTCACAAGTTTAAATTCAACAGAACAAAGATGAGAAACAAAAGCAAAACAAAAATTAAACTACGATAAGTGCTTACCAGTACAGAAAAGTGGATTGGGTTATACAGACATGTAGTTCAGGGCTGTGTTTATTGTTTACCTCTGTTTTTCATTCTGGATTTCTGTATGTTGTCTCAGACTGTTTGAGTGTCACGTGAGTCTCAAACAGCCTCACGCACTTGCATTTTATCTGTACGTACATGTCGCTTAGTGTGGGCGTTAGGCAATTTGTGCTCATGAATTTAATCATTTGCTTGTGGAGGAGCCTTTCTGAATTCATCATTACCACATTTGTGAGACTAAAGATAAAAAAAAAATATCTGTCAAATTTTATTATTTCTGTAATTTGTAACTGTGCGTGTGTTAGTTTACTTTGTACTGATATTGTCTAGGTATTGGTGTGCACATTTGAAAACACATTTGGAAGTTACCGAAGTCATGCAGAAAATGTTTTTCAGTTCACAAATCATGTTTTGCACACATAAGTATCCAAAGTTACACACAAGCAGACTTACACAGTTTACAAAGGCACAAATATTTATTTTCTCTCACCATCACTTCCAGGTTGGTGGTGAGTTTGTTTTACATCAAGAGGAGGTTTGAAAGTTTATTGTGAAAAAAAGTGGCTGATCTGTGAGCCCGCCCAAAAGACTTGGCATTTATGGGCATTTTTCAAGAAAAAGGCTTTTGCAAACCTAAACAGAGCTGAAACATGTTTAGCCAACAACATTCACACATGAAAAGATGTCTTTACGGGGAAGATGTTTCCATTTTAAACATTTTAAGTCCCTTTAAAATAAAACCAACACAATCTGAACCAAGTGGAGAGTTTTATTGAAAGAGAAATAATTAGAAATGTTCTATGACAGTGGGAAGTATTGGGGATCGAAGTCATTTTATGCAGCTGTGAATGGGGCTCTGTGCAATAGCGGAAGTGTCCCACCCACCTGCTGAGGAAACAGCCTCGTTTTTCAACACGCACTCCAACTACTGCACACTGACACAGAAAGGCGCTGTCTGTAGAGTCTGAATTCACGCCAAGATGTACGCGCCACGGCGCTTCAATCTGCTCATCTACATAATATTGGCAGGTAAGTTAAAAATAATTAATTGGTGTTGTTTTAAATTTTTTTTTTAATGTTATTCACCTAAAATTGAAAACTATGGGGTGAATTATGATTTTGATCGGAAAGTGTGGAAATCATCTGAATGGTTTAATATGAAGCAACAAAAGTAATCAGAATGTAGTTTTTATTTAAAAGTTACAGCTTTCCTTTTTACTCAAATTGTGACAAATTATGAGCTTTGTTTGTTTTTTTTTTCTTTTTATGTGGAAAGGAAACAGACTTAAGAAGAATAAAAACAGGAACTCTTCACCACAAACGGGTGCATTTCATTCCTGTGTCAGCATGATATGATCTTCGGTTTACCCAACTGATTTTCTGCTTGTTTAGAACAAACTAAGTAGTGCCAACAGCTAAAAGCACAAAAAGCTTAATATTGTAAGAACATTACTTGTAAAAAAAAAAAAAAGTTATTGCAATGTTTTTTTTTTCTTTTCTGTGACGAAAAGTTTTTCTGGAAGGGCTCAGCTGTTGCCAAACCATGTGCAAAGGTGATATTGAATTATATTTACACGTCGGCCAGCCACTGAAGGCATTGTGAATAAGCACTTTGAATTGCCTTGTTGCTGAAAATGTGCTATATAAATAAAATTACCTTACCTGACCTTACCTAAAGCGGCGGCCATGAGGAGCTATTTTGTTTTTGTCTGAGGTTTTCAATTATAGGTCAGCGTTCATACTTTCTGCAAACTGATTCTTCACCGTTTCTCTAAAATGTTTAATGACTCTTACTGAAATGTGAAAACTGTTTCTTTGAATAACTGATCAGACAGTGCGCAATACTTTCTACCAACAGAGGCGAAGATCTGGAAGATGTTTATTTATTAATTACAAAAATCATTTGTCATTTTAAAGCTTTAAATGTGCACTTTTCTTAACACCTTTGCTTAATGTGAACAGTACGATAGTGAATCTAATGAAGGCAGTTCCTTTTTAACAAAAGAGCTTTTCAGTGTAAGAAATGATTTTATACTAAAAAAGATTTTTTTAAAAGTGCCCCTCCCCTCCCGATTTACTCATAAAGCAGCTTTGCATCAGTAGTTTTACCGAAGTTAACCCTCTAAGTATCTGTCAGAATGACTCACTGCCGAATTTACACAACATACTGTGAGAAAGACGTTACTGGCTGGTAAAGTTCCCCTTTTGGTAGACTAGTTTTTATTCAAACCTAAAATATGCTGATATTTAAGTTTTGAAATATCTAAATATGGTGATAATGCAGAAATAGTGATTATGACATTAAATTAATACAGTAAGGAGAATGTTTAGGCTTAAATTTAGTGTTTTTGGGGTTCTTCTATTGTTTTTTTTAAGCACACTTATTTATTGCATTTATGAAACGGCGTGTGGGGGATGAAAATAAGTAGCTTTATTTATCTTGAATGGTGTAAACTTCTGTGAGAGCATCCTTCATTACCATTTTAATGAAGTATATTTATGGAAAAAATATGCTAAATCTCATGTGCAGATGTTTTTTTTTAAATATATGTTTTATATCTCTGATGTTCTGTTGGTTGAACAGAGTAAAATAAGTAAATATTTAGTTTTAGCACGTTAGACAATAGCTTAAGAACTTGCGTTGAAAACTGGAGATGACGTCCTTCCTCGGTTATGCCTCTCTAAACCCAAGTGCAGCACGTCTGCACCATGAAGTAAAAGAGGGTGGTGTGAGAAGCGAGAGCAACAACTCCGGCAGCTTTTTTTCTCTTTTGCCCACAGTGTCAACTTCTCTATCAAATGACAGTAACTAGGTTGGTCTCAGCTCACTTTTGTTTCTGTTTAAAAGATTTCAGGTCTCAGTAATTAGCTTAGCCTCAGTACATACAAACAGCAATTTTAAAATTATAAATTGATTTATTATGTAGGAAAACTATCCACGTCCACCTACTCCTATGTGAAGTTGTGATAGTAATCTTTTGGTAATTTATAATTTAACAAAGATTAGATGGACTTTCTGAAAAGCTTTAATTCAGACAAGAAATCTCTTCAATAGATCCTGTCTGACAGCATGAAGTAGGTTATAATATATTTTTTTTAAAAAGCAGAACATATTTATCCCATCTACGAAAATCCAAAAACAAATGAAAACAAAGTGGTTGGCGTCTGTTCGTCTGAGGAGGGTTCATCTATTTGGCATACCATCGAACCTCAGTGAGAGCCATTATTTATGAATGGAGCAAACAAGAAACGCTGCAGAACCTCAAACTCAGTGACACGGTCACCATTCAAAGTTAAGAACACCAAAACCACTGTTCACCAAAAAGATCACAGAGACATGCTTCACATATTTCAGAACCCCCTTGATGAAGAAACCTTAGGGAAAACATCCCAACTTCCAAAAGTGGACGTTTTTGGAAGATACGAATCCCATTACTTCTGGAATACAACTGAAAAAAGAAAAGAACATCATCACGTCAAAAGTGGTGCAAATGTGATGGTCTGGGGCTGCATGACTCGCCCTAAATGGACCTGAGAGTTCTGCTCCCTACTGAAGGAAAATACCTGGAGACCATTTCATGACCTTAATTTCAACTGAGTCGTGCAGCAGAAGAATGATCCAAAGTGGTTCAAGATTCATTATCCTGCATGATTTAGGAGGTTTCTGCTGCCACACGCCTGACTGGTGACTGAAATAAATGGGTGATTGACAGGCTTCTGCAGCACTTGATGGCATGCAGAGGAAATTTGGAGCAGAGAGATGCCTAAAAGTTAAGGACATTGGACCTTGAGAACCATTAATCTGAAGCCCACCAGCTGCAGAAGAAAAAAAACATTTTGAGGTTTAGTAAAAGTCCTAACTGCGAAAAGGCAGGTGGCCTGTAATGTTTCCCATGTCATACTGTTTCCTATCAGCTATGACCTTTGCCTTTCTTAATTTTACTAATTACTAACTTTTTTGTGCTCTCGTTGTCATGATCCGTGGTTTTCTGTTTATTTTGAGTTTTTCTGTGTTTATTCAGTCCTGTGTTCCTGTGAGTCTCTGTCCTGTCCTCCCCGTTGATTGCTCCCCAGGTGTGTCTCATTCCCTTGATTACCCCGTGTGTATTTAAACCCTCCTGTTGTCTGTGTTCCTCGTCGGTTCCTTGTCGTCGTTTGTCTAACGTCTCAGTGTTGTTCTCACTAGCCAGTAGAACTGTTAAGTCCTGGTTTGTGTTTGTTCCGTCTAGTCCGTTTTGACAGTTGCTACCGGTATCTAGCTGCGTGCTTGTTCCTGCCGTGCTGCCTGCCTAGGACTGTGTGTGTGCTTTGTTATCATTAAATCTCCATCATCACCATAACCTGGGTCTCAGCGTCTCTCCTCACCACCAACACCCCCACCTTATGACACTCGTGGCTTTAAGGAAAGTTTTCTATCTTAGCTTCTGCTTTTGACAATTGAAAACTGGAAACAAGAACTCCAGAAAGTCATTTTATTACTCTGGTATTGAAGTAGTGAATGTCCTGTGTGGATTATGACACATTTATTTTCAACTTGTTCACTTCATACAGTACACCTACTCTGTTTTATCAGTAGCTTAGTTTGTGCTGTTGCTTGTATAAATTCAGAAATGTCTGATCTAAACAGGATTTCCTGGCAAGCTAATGAAAAAAGTCCCAGAGAAATGAGAAGGCTTACGTTTAAAACGATAAATTTTACAGTTCACTCCCCGTTGTCAAAGTTCATATTACCTGATTGCTATTTATACCAGCTTGCACTTATCAAATTTCTTTCGAAAAGATAATAAATATGGTCGATCAGATTATTTTACAATGAAGACAACTTTAGAAATCCAGAAAAGGAACTTGTTCTGCTACTTTTGTGAGCTTGTAAAATGTATCTTTCGTACTTTTCAGCTGCAGCCATCCCAACTACTTCAGCTTTCAATGTTGACACAACAAACCCTTCCTTTTATAAAGGCGAGCAGAAAGATTTCTTTGGATACAAGGTGCTCCAGTACAAGTCGCCCAAGGACAAAGGGTGAGTTTGCAGCTCCAGTTCTCTTGTTCTGAGTAAATTCAGAGAAAAGTTAAGAGTGATCAGTAGACAGGAAATAACTATCTTTTAAACAATTTCCTTTAAGAAGCTTGCGGTTTAAGCTGTATTACAATATTTCGTCATATGAACACTTTGGTAATTAGCAAAAACGCTTCTGTTTTCTGAGAATCATGTTTTTGCCGGTATCTCACTTGTATTTCTGTTGTTCACAGGGTGATTGTTACTGCACCGCTGCAGCAAAATGGATCAGGGGGCATCTCCAAGTACGGCCAAGATGAGACTCCATTATGGTTCAATGGTACGCGCTCGTTCACATTTAACCACTACTGCATTATACAGGAGAAGAAAAATGGCTTCCAACAGTACTGAAGTTTGAAATATAACTCAGAAAATCAAAAAAAAAAGTTGGAATGAATGCTGGTTGCAACGTAAATATGATTCAGTCATTTAAAACTCGTACTTTTCAGGAATTTTAAATTATGCATGCTTTCTTATTTTCCTGAAGTATAAAGTGATGTGATCTGCTCCACTTCCCAAAATGGGAAAGACAAAAGAACAAGGCAGTCAGTCCTCAGAAATCAGACAAAACCATATTAGGTCTCAACTGTACCGAGGAAGCAGGCATCAAACGACCAAGTGGAGTAAAGACAGTAATTTTTCTAAAAGCAGAGATGAAAGTATTTCATATTGAACCGAGCTCTGCGAGATGTTCCTAGCTTGGGATATTCTTTCATAATCTGATCCAGTTTTAAATTTCTCTACATCTTTCTCTCTGACCTGTCTGCTGTGTTCCTTGGTCTTCATGATGCTGTTTGCTCACTAATATCCAGTCGTATTTGCGTTGAGGCTAAACAACAATTTTAATAATACAACATTTTTCCTGAGAGCACCTTTCTGAGACCTAAAGCCACCTTACAGAGAAGAATAAATAAAAAAAAATAAAAACATTTATTTAAATCAGTCAACAAGTTTTAATAACAGTAAAAATGTGTGGACTATTTATTAATTATTTGACTAGCAAAGGTGGTTGGTTGCGCTGGTTTTCATTTAGGTGAATGAAATACGTTGAATTTGTAGCTGTAGCGTGGTAAAATGTGAAAAGGTTCCAGGGGTGTGAGTCAAACCAAATCTGTAGACAATGATGCATTTTATATTTATAACTTAAGTACAGCTAGTTTGGTTTCATATGTACAACAGAGCATTAGGGCCACACCAAGAGAATATTTTAAAAATTACAAGAATAAAGTAGTAAAAAAAAAAACAAGCAGTCTTACCACTGCATTAAAATGAGAACTGGCAAGTATCTTGCAAAATTGTACTTTGGTGACAGTTATAACAGTAAGAAAATACTTAATCTTTTAACAGATCAACAGATTATTTTCAGTAGCAGAACTTTGACTCGATTGTGCAAGAAACTGTCTATTTTGAAGACGGTCTTTCTACTCTCCTCGTCTGACTCCGGCACTCTGTCGTACATCTAGTCTGTGATGAAATTAAAGGACAAATAAATGCAAGAACCTATTCAATATTCATTTACTTTCATCATCAAACCTCGTTGTAAAAACCGATCAGTTTGTCGCTATAAAGTATAACTGGAACAAAATGTTTTACAGGTTCTTCACATCCGTATTCAGCCAAGCATCTCGGCTTGTCAATAACCATGGACACAGAATCCCGGTTTATTGTGAGAAACCACACACTATCTGGGATGTTTTAGAGCAAAACTAATGTATAAACAGTGTTCCAGACCAATTTCTCTAAAATATTTTGCTCTGCTTTAGGCCTGCAGTCCAAGCCTCGCTCATCCATGCGATGAGAACGTCTACCTGAACAGTCTGTGTTACAACTTCACACATGATTTTGAGCTGCTGTCTTCTTTCAAGCCTTTGTTCCAAAGTAAGATCATGCTGTTTTTAGTATTTATATGCTGATTTATATGGTGCTCTAATATTCTGTACTTTTTTTACAGAATGCATAAAAAAGGCTGTAGATCTTGTGTTTCTGTTTGATGGATCCGAGAGCATGACCGGCACAGAATTTGAACAAAATAAAAAATTCATAATAGGCATGATGGACAGCCTTAAAAATACATCTATCAAGGTCACTGCACTCTTTCAGCATTTAGTTAAAGTGTAAGTGGGTTAGGGTATAATCTCTAATGTTAAATTAAATCAATATTGTATATTTTTCTTTAGTTTGCAGCAGTTCAGTTCTCAACAACTTACAGAACAGTGTTCAACTTTAAGGATTACGTTGATGGTAAGGCTGAAGGCAAACTTATGAAAGAAGAGCATATGAAGGGTCTAACCAACACATACAAGGCCCTTAACTTTACACTGTAAGTAAACATGCCCAAAGTCCATACAGTATACAAATTAGTTCCTGCTGATTAAGCTGAGTTGTCTTCAGCAACCCTAAACGTGCCAGCATTTCTTCAGGTACGAACTCTTGGAAAATAAAGCAGCAGGAGCCTCAAAAGATGCAAATAAAGCTGTGGTGATAATCACAGATGGAGATCCAAGTGAACTGGATAAAACTTACAGGAGTGTTGAAACCTATAACAGCAAAGAAATCATTCGAGTTGTTATTGGGGTAAGTATGAACATATTTTTCTGTATTATTAGACTCAAAGATGTGGTTGCTTTATTAGAATTTTTTTTCTCTTAAGTTCCTTGTGAAACTGAGCAAAATTAATTTCTCACCACACTATACACAGTGAAATCATTTTTCCAGAATACTGCTTTTAAATACTCCAACAAAAAATCTTTAGCATTTATGTGTTTGCCTTTCTTGCTGACTATAACATCACCTAACGTTCGTCTCCTTCAACTATGCTTTATAAGTCTATGCATCCTGGTGATTAAGGCATAGATCCTCAACCCCAGCCCAACATTATGAAAAATGAAAAAGATCATAACTTTTAGCATTTGCTTTACATAGTTAAGAGTGTACTCAGAACATTTCACCCTAATCACCTGGGCTGAAATAAAGAAAAAAGTTTATTGAACAAGTGTACGTCCTCGTTACAAACACTTGTTCAGTAAATCCCATCACTTCAATTAGCACACTGAAGGGATTTGTCTTGCAGCAAAAAAGCTGTGTGATGAAAGTTTAGACTTTCCCATCGTGTCAAACAAGAAAGCATTGTGTTTCAGGTGTGGCCGTAAGATACATCCACATGTGTGCCTCCAATTAACTCAAATGTGTTAGTTAATCAGAAGTTGGTGGAAGGAAACCCTAAAGGTTTGACCCAAGTCATACAGTTTGAAACACAGTTATCTCTGATACTGACCAAATGTACCGTATGTAAACTTCTAAATTGGAAGAAAGTTAAAAAAAAAAAACTGCAAGAAATGCTTTGAATAAGTTTTATAACGTTTAGCAAATAGAAATAATTTTGGTCATTCTGACTGATCTAAAACAAGAGAAATTTGGCCTGATTTAACTTCAAGACAATGAGAAAAAAAAATCTGTCTTTTTACTTGCTGTATGTCTAGTTTCAATTGCATATAGCACAGATTTACATCAAAAGTTCTTTCAAGGTTGGTGTGCTGTGGTTGCGCAGGGGTTAAGCACAATCCACATATGGAGGCCTTAGTCCTCAACGTGGCTGTTGCAGGTTTGATGCCTGGCTTGGTGACATTTGCCGCATGTCCTTCCCTTCTTTCATTACCCACTTTCCTGTCAATTGACTATGAAATAAAGGCCACTAGAGCTGATTAAAAAGTTCTTTCAAGGTATTGTATGATTGGTTCATAAGCTGCATTTTCAGTCTCTGTAAAGCTGCTGCAGAATACTAATCAATACAGACCAATTAAAAACCACTTGTCTCTTCAGAAGAGAGTTTGCTTCCTTGGTTCAAATACCACATTGTATTTAAAACAATGCAATGTGGTATTGTTTCAAATTACAATTAAAATGGTCATTTTAATTGTCTGAAATCATGTACTATATATTTTTTTCTTTTCAGGTTAAGATTAAAGATCATCAATTCGACAAATTAAGAACAATTGCATCAGAGCCAAAAGAAAAAAATGTCTTCAAAATTACAAACTATGATGGACTTACTGGACTACTGGAAAATTTTCAAAAACAAATCTTCGCTATTGAAGGTGATTTGTTTTTCCTGCTTTATTTTGATTAATGAGATGCTAATGATGTTTCCCTGTCCATGCGGTAGTGAAATTTTTTTCCCCTTATGTAATTTTTAGGATCTAATGGGACTCGATCTGAAGAACTGAGTAATGAAATGGCACAAAGTGGATTCAGTGCCGTCTCACACAAGGTAAATTATGCATTGGTTTAGTTGGCATATTTAATGTTTTTGTTTTCATCTGGCAAACAATTGCATCCTTTTTTTGTTCCTGAGAGTAGAGTCATAGATGTCTTCTTGAAATAAATACATTTCAAGAAGACATCAGGAAACTTCTATAAAAGGTTCTGCTTAAAAACTGAATTAATAGAAATAGACCTTGATGAGTCTCCACCAAAGGATAATTTTTCACAGATAAGTCAGGATGTGTGTGTTCTGATCAAACTTTTGTGTTGACAGGACACCTTGATTCTGGCCTCAGTGGGTTCAAAGACTTGGCGTGGGACTCTCAATGATTACCAGAATAAAAACAAGGCGATAATAGACCCAGAAATGCAAGAGGCCTCCTACATGGGTATGCTAATTATTTGCTACCTTACTCAGCTGATTTATTTTAGCTGAAATATCATTAAATAATTTAATCTGTTCCAAATTGACTGTTAATGCCGTACATTGTGCAATGTAAAAGAAAAATTCACAACAATTTGTTGCTACTCACATTTGTAGGATACTCTCTTTCTGTTGGAGAAAGAAATGGCACTTCTTTGTATTTCACGGGCGCCCCACGTTTCAACCACATGGGAGAGGTTGTAGTTTTTCGACGTGATGAAGACAAGTGGCCAATAGTCCAAAGATTAACTGTGGACCAGGTTGGGAATTGTATTTTTTTTTTTTTTTATGTATTATATAAGCAAGTAACATGAACATGGGTTGCTCCTTTTTAAGCTTACGTCTGCCTTCAAATGTATTTTGCTTTTGACTTTTAGAAAGAGTCAAGAATTTACAGACAAGTTTCTGTTTGCAAACAAACACAAATGATTATATTAGAAATTATTATTTATACTGAGAGTCAAAGTTTCAGTTTTGCAGTTGCAGAGAGGGACACAGAAAACCTCCTTGAATTTCCAGTTAATTTTTCTGAAAGTAAAAGCTCAGGAAGCAGCTCTTTACCTGTACCTTCCAGATTGGTTCCTATTTTGGTGCGGAGCTGTGCTCTGTGGACATCGACTCAGACGGTAACACTGATTTCCTGCTGGTTGGCGCTCCAATGTTTTTCCTTCCCGAGGAGAGAAAAGAAGGGTCGATCTACGTCTACGCCCTGTCTGATAAGGTGCATCAATTGTTAAGGCTCAGATTACCAGTCACTTCTGCATGAGTTTATTACTGAGCTAAATATTGTCCTTATTGCTTGTAGATCGACCTAATGAGTGTGCTTCACGTGAAAGCACCGTCCATGGGCAGATTTGGCACCACCATATCCAGTCTTTCAGATCTGAATGGAGATGGTCTCCGCGATGTTGCAGTGGGAGCCCCCCTGGAAGAGAACAACGCCGGAGCGGTCTACATCTACCTTGGACAAAAAGACACCGGGATGCGCAACATTTCCAGCCAGGTGACACAATCATATAAGATTCTGTCAAGTAAAGTTCACACGTTTTCTGAAGTTTTTTTTAGAGTTTAACATGTTTAGTGTTTAATACAAGAACACACTGCTGAGAGAGAAAGGTGAAGACAGTTGAAATGAAATTAAAACTATCATGATGCAGTCACAAATCCAATTGACTCTAGCAGAAATACTTTTTTTTTAGTGCATGGTATAAACAAAGTAAGCTTTTTTCAAGGGCAACAGAAGGTCATACCCTCTCTCACACCAGGCTAAAACTGTCCATCAGTCTCTATTACCTGCGCAACTGTTCAAATGTAGCACAATCACCGCAAATCTGGGATACCACATGTTCTCATGAAAGCTCTCGTTATGCAACTGCTTTGCGTGCCCCAGCGATGTATGTCACTGTTGCTTTCCTGCCATACCACATGGGTACTGCTGCAGGTACCACGTCTGTGTGTTTCCTCACGAGCTACACAATTGCCCCACATACCATATATGAAAGATTTCTGCATAGGTGCTAGTTTCAGTCTTACTGCGGAAAACTGTCAGGTCCTTCTTTCAACTCATCAGCAACTTGAGAGGAGAAGAGATTTTCTCGTCAGAGTACTCTATGCACATATCTCAACAACTGGAGCAAAAAGGAATCGTGCAGACAACATCCAAAATTAGCTTTTTTTACTACTACCAGTTAGCTCATCATACCAAAACTTTTGAAATTGTTTAATGTGTTGCACTGCCATTTCAGCATAATTGTGCTATCAATACACTCTTTTCTTAACAACTGGGATATCCTAAGGCTGCTTTCACAGCATCCAACACTGCTTCAGAATACATGAAAAAAATCACATGTTCATCATTGATAAACCCCATAAGACCTCAGCAGGGCTCTTCAGTGACCCTCCTCGTTCTGTAAAATTTACAGTGATTTGTTGCAATATTTGAACAAAGTGCTTGGTAGATTTTAAGGGTGAAAATGCTTACATTTGTTTTTTCAACCACTTTTGCTGACATGGAGTGTACGATGCTGAATATGGATCATAGGAAGCCAAGGGGAAAGTTGTCTAGACTAGAATAAGTTGGCTAAGTTCACAACACTTTAGGCAGCCTGCCTGGCTGCAGGATGACAAATTGAAGAAAAGGTTAACACAAATGGCAACCGAAGAGTTCAGAACAACTTTAGAAGAAATTAAAGGTGAACTCCAAAGTCAAGGTAGATCAGTGTCACGTCACACCATCTGTTGTTACTCGAGCCAAAGTGGACTTCATGGGAGGAAACCAAAGCATTTAAAAGCGAAACTACCACAATGCATGTTGACAGGTCACAAAGTTACTGGGACAACTGGAGTGAGCCAAAACACCTATGGACAGGTGTAGAAATTGACAGTTACAGAAATAATTTAATTTCTTCAAAAGGTTGTGCAACAAAATTTTAAGTTACAGGTACCAACACTTTTTACCCAGGCCTGTTGAAGTACTCAAATAAAGAAACACAATTCAGCAGCAATAATGTCTGATTTCACTGGTTAATCTTCAGTATTTTTTAATGTATTATTACTTTTGTCAGTTTCAAATTATTTCAGTGACCAATGTGGGTTTTTCCTCCATTGACACCAACTATTTTGTCAGTGTGTGTGTGTGTGCGGGTGTGTGGCAGTTTTAATAATGAAGTTTCTGCTTTTCCAGAGAATCATGGGAGCGCAATTTGATCCTGGATTGAGATTTTTTGGTCAGTCCATCAATGGAGACATTGATCTCGGAGAGGATCAATTGCCAGATATTGTGGTGGGATCCCAAGGTGCTGCTGTTGTCTTGAGGTATAACTTTGTTAGTGCACCACTACACTCTTCAAATTAAATGAAGTGTTGAAATGCAAACTTGGGTTCGTTTCTAGAATAAAAGTTAGGCTTGATGCTTTTAAAGTACTTGTAGTTTTTACCAAATTAAAACATCTGATGGTAAAAAAAAAAAAAATCTGAAAAGTTGCTTGTTTAAAACTGCACAGATATGTAAAAAAAATATAACTTTTTGAGGGGAGTTGCATCAAAACTGTTCACAAATCCTTTATTTGGTCTCTTTCAGGTCCAAACCTGTATTAGATGTCAAGGCTAAGCTGTCATTTGATCCCAGTGTGATAAGCATTCAGAATATCAACTGCTTGGACAAGACGGAGGACAAACCTTTACCAATGACTAACATAACAGCTTGCTTTGAAATGGTAGAAGTAACAAACAGCACTACAGGTGAGGATTAAAAATGGGATTTTAACCGATAGCAACTGCAAGCTTGTCATTTTAATGGTAAACTGTTGTCCACTAAAGGGCCAGGAATCGAGATCTCATTCATGCTCATTGTGGATCCAATGAGGCTATCAAATCGAGGTTTCTTCATTGAAAATGAAGCAAAGAGCCGGAATATTACACAAACCCATGAGCTGACGGACAAGGAAACATGCTTCAACTATTCCATCTCCATGAATGTATGAATAATCATAAGATTGAAATCGATCTTACTCAAATGTTTCTGGTTTTGTCTCTTCAAGAAATGACCACAGTGTTATTTCTGTTTTCCAGAAATGCATACAAGACACATTATCTCCTGTCAACATCAAGTTAAACTTTTCCCAAGATGCCCAGGAGAATTCAACAGCCATTCTTAACATAGACAGCCAAAGACGAGCTATGGTTGAGGTGGGTCCAGTAACCCAAGGGTGCTGCGGGAATGTAAAAGTGTAAAGATGGATGTGTAAAGAAAACAATGAAGATAAATGTTTATCTTTGACCAAACTTCTTGGAGTTTGTTCATTGGACAATATACATTTTTTTATAGGTTCCTTTCGAAAAACGCTGTGAAAAAGAAATCTGCATTGCTGATCTTAAAGTGGATTTTGATTTTCTGTATGTATATTGAAAAAAAACACACACACATGCACATGCATCTAGAAGAGCTTTTGTTTTTGCTTCAAACAACTCAACTGAATTTAACAAATACTTTTCCTGTTTAAGGTCTAAGGAACTATTGGTGACAAAAGAAACCACCATCAAAATATGGATAAAACTCCATAATAGGGCTGATGACTCATACAACACCAGCCTGACGATGCTCTACCCCGAAGGCCTCTCTTTCTCAATGTTGGATCAAACGGGGGTAATTTAAGTCATATTATTTTCTGGCTGTTTTAGCTGATTTTGTTTTGTTTTGTTTTTTTCAGGATGGAAAGATTACATAAAATCTAGAAAGAAGTTTCAAAAACAGAAATTTAATCCATAAGTTTGAAATGACTGTACAGATTTTAGGGATAAATTGCTTAAAAGAATGTTATAATTACAATTTCTCATGTTTAGGATTAACATAGCAATAGGAAACTTCAGTTTGCTGGGCGACTCAGTAGGTAGAGCAGGCGCACCATGTGCAGAGGCTGAGAATCCTTGGTCTGATTCCCAGCCTCAGTCCATTTGCCTCTTCTCTTTCTACCCTTTTTCCTGTCAAATTTCAGTTCATCAATGAAAACGATGAAGAAATTACTATTGAAATCGTACGTCAGAACCACATGCAGCATCTTAGATGTTAAGTAAAAGGCTAGAAGATGCGTGCAGGAAAAAAATAACATAAGTCGTCCTCTGACAAAAGCTCCCTATCAGTTAGTGCCAGGAAAAGTAACTATTAAATGGATATTTGATCTTCATAATGATCTGGTTTGTCAACTAAACCTGTTTGTAACTCCTGCTGAAGTTTATAACTCCTTCAGCGTAGTCAGAGGTGTCTCAGTGGCCTCTCTCAATAATCTCCTTCCCGCACGTAGTCATCCAGTTTGTGAGGATGGCCTGCTGTAGGCAGATTGACTTTATTCCTTCCATTTCTTCTTGTTTCCGTCCTCTGATCTGTATTTGCTTGGAGTGTTCCTGTTTCTAATGGTGCCCAGAGATACTGATTAGCCAGTGATTGGACCTACAGATACAGGTGTCTTTATATTGTAGGCACCGGAGACACACTCACATGATCTCCATTCCACTCACTTTGAGACTACTGGCACTACTTTGCTGGACCTCTGTTGAATTAGGCCAGTCACCAAATAATGATGCAATCGCTTATTTTATGTTGCCCAATCAATTTTCACTTTGGGTCAGTATTACGTAAATTTGACTTTTTTGAAACTCAGATCATATTATAATGTTATTCTCTCATCGAAAAAACGCACCTGGAGTGCTGCTTTGACTCTTTCATGCCTGTTTGAGAAATCCTTTAATCTCCTGTGCCAACCGTCTAGGGGTTGGCACAGGAGATTTGTCTGACCCTTCCCCACAGATTATCGGCAGCAGCAGTTAGCAAAAACAATGCTTATAAGAATGATGTTGAAGGCATTGTTGTGATAGAAGGTGGAGTGTCAGAAAGAACAGGAGCTTATTAAACAGACAGAGGCACAATTATGAGACATTAAATGGTAAAGTCTAATTTTTACAAAATCATGTTTGATATATTCAGCATTTCCATAACATAGCTGCTTGATTGTGCTACAAAATGGTACTATGTGTATGGAAAATACACAATACTGCACTGCCCCTTTAAAGGTTTTGTTTCATAATTTTTGGTATCAAAATGGAAAATTTTGTTGGCCATGATCGATTTGTTAAAGTAATAAAAAGGGTTAAATTTCCAAGATGGTGAATGCTTTTCATAGACATTTTACATGTAAAATGGCCTCAGCCCACTGGGTTTGAATGAGAAATTGTACACATTTTTTGAAGAATACTAATTACACATTGTAATTGTAAATGAACACTGAATACAAGCCGGGGGAAAGTCTAATGCTGCTTCACTAAAATGTGTTTACTGACATCATGGCCATCTAAAAAGCCCCAGAAAAGTTGCTTTAATTTTATGTTCACTGGAAAAACAAAATGTTTACTTCATCCTTTTTTTTGTGACACACAAGTAGAGGAAACTGCAAAAAGTTTTTTTTTGAGGACTTGAAACCGACACAGGATGTGTCGGTTGTCTCGGCAGAGTTTTCACAACCAAATGCTTGAAGAAAAATCTGTCGTCTCTTTCAGAGACAAGCCTAAGAGGTTTTGGTGACTCTTACATGTGCTTAATCAAAGACGCAGATTCTGTCAATGCAGCTTTGCTTTGGAACATGGAGCTTTACAGCAGTTAAGCTTGATTTAACTTTTCTCTCCTCATCAGAACAAGAAACTAACTCAAATCTGCGCGGATCAAGAAAAACTTAATGAAACCGTTTGTGGGATAAGCCTTCCTGTATATCGCAGCAAATCCTCTGTGAGTCATACTGCAGCCAAACATCCTCCTTAGCGACACAACAGAGTTTGTGAAGAGCTCTCTGAATGACAAACTTTAACAGCATGTCTTTCTACCAGAACCAAATTTAACATAATTTTCTCTTGTTCCATAAAAGGCTGTTTTTACTGCTTCTTTTCGCATCAAAGATTTTGAGTGGAATGACACAATGCTGATGACAGTCTTTGCAAAAAGGTACTTTTTTTTTTTTTAAAGCAATTCCCAATAGAAGTAAGTTAAAAATTTTCTGGGAAGCAAAATGTTCTATTTTCAACACTTATAAGATTTTATCCTTTGCATTCTTAGTGAAAATTCAAACTCCAGCGAGAGTTCTTCTATGACCAAAAGTATTCCTGTAAAATATTCTGTTGAAATGACAACATCAGTGTAAGTAGTGTGACATACATCCACAGTATCTCCAACTGTATTATATGAAGGTTTCCTGTGTTTTGCAATGGTTTTTCTTTTGTTTTTTCAGAAATGACACATCTGTTGAGAACCTGGAGTTCACTCCAGAAAATTATAAAGCACAAAAAATGATAACTGTATACAAGGTAAGTGATTTAAAATATGACGCAATTGTATCACCTTGAAGCAGAAACATATTAGTTTATCATAGAAAAAACATACCTGTTTATTCAGAATGATGTGGCTTCTTATTATTTACAGATATACAATGCAGGTTTTAAGGATTTTCCCATCAACGTGTCCCTCTTCTTCCAAGAGCAACTGGAACACGACTTTGAAATTAAAAACTATACAGTTATTGTCGAGCCTGTAAGTTGTCCAATTGTTTCAACACTTCTCATTTAACTTCTACCGCTTCTCTTATTTGCAAGCTTTTAATATGTAAATTTTTCTCATGTTTTTAAGAACAATACACAGTGCTCAAAAATGTCCACCCCAAAAGCTGAGGTTAGTGTAACAGATTGGGACTTAAAACTATGTTGTCATACCATGAGTAAATTACTATGTGATACAAAGTATTATTTTGTTGCAGGACTGCCCATGGAAAGAAAACTGTGTGGCCATAAAATGCGATACATTTATGTTAAAAAACTATTCAAATGTTTACGTTTCCCTGTTGGGGGATGTGCATTTCCGAAATCTGGAAAACTACGAATCGGTATGTACTGCAATGAGTTAAGACAAAATACACCACAAAATACACCACTGTGACATCCCCTCAACTGTCCTGTCCTGCTCTTTCTCTAAAGAATATGCCCTTTCTGAAAAAATATACTGGAGTCCACGGAGAGGTCAAATTTAACAGCACTATAAAAGTTCACTATAATGGTACTAGATACGTGCTGTCTTCCCAGAAAAACGAGGTATGTATATTTTGAACTGCTGAGATACCTTCTCAAAGATGCAGTTTTGAAGGTAATTCTAATCTGAGTTTTCGTTTCAGAAAAACAAGAACTACACAGTGCAACAATCAGTATGTACAACTCTCATCGATACCTACGTAGTTAAAACAAATTAATCGTTTTATGTAAAGCATAACCTGTTTTTTCTCTGCTAACAGGCTACAGTTACAGTTGAGTTTAAGGTGCCTCAATATAGATATCTGATCATTGCGACTGGAGTGGTACTGGGATTTATCCTTCTGATCATACTCACAGTCATCATGTGGAAGGTGAGATTTCTATGTCCAGCTTTGGAGCCTGTTGGGAATTAAGACATGGTTTTGGTGTTTGGTCTAAATGGCTGCATTTGTGCCTGTCCTTAGTGCGGCTGCTTCAAGAGGAAAACCATTGAGGATTTCGAAGAGAAAAAGGCTGACTTCCCTGCTCAGACAAAAACCTCATCTGTGCCATCTCATAATAAATCTGAACAAGTGGAAGAGGAAAAGAAACCTCTTAATGCGGACGAGGACAAAGTCAAACCCTCAGCTATTACTGAGGGCCAAACCAGCTCAAACGTGGCGAAAGTTGGGACTAAAATTTAGAGGTTATTTTGGATTTTTATAAAGTTTTTTTTCTTCTTTTTATTATTTTTTTTATTTTTACATTTTCAAAAACAAAAAACGGAAATGAGCAACTAAATCAATTTATGTGTCTTGCAATGAGTGATCAGATTTAGTTGAGTCCGAAAGCTGAGAAACAAAACCAGCATAGTTTAGCAGCCTAATGGAGTCCCGTCTTCACTGACGTCTCTTTTTCAGCGAGATACACTCTCATGTTGCAGCAGCTGAGTTGGTGGATGATCTTCCAATAAAATGAGGGGCCCTCGATTTCAGCTTTTTAAGATGCAACTAGTATGGGAGCTTTATTTTCATATCTTTACTAAAGTGAGAGAAAGAAAGAAAAAGGGGTACACTGTGTTGATGCTGAATTGTGATAATTTGGTTCAGCTTCTTATGCCGATTCGGTTAGATTGTCCAAGTAAATTTTTCTGTTTGACTTGATCTCAGACTCTGAAGGGACTGCAGCGCAGAGCAGAGCCTTTCTTTGAGCTGTTCTTGCCTGAAGCAGGGAACAAGACTGCGCTGGATGTATGAATGATGTAATATAAATACAAATGCCTTGCAGAAAACTCTGAATCGAACACCATTTACCAGGATGCTTATTGTGGTTTATGGTTTCTGTCTTTTCTGTTTGTCTGCAAGGAGTTTTAGTGTAAGATTGTATTATTGAATGCTTTTGTTTTAATTTGATTTGCATTTCTTGTTTTATGTACTGTTTAATTCATTTATTGGATTGAGGTGTTTATTTCCTATCAACCAAGCTTTGAAGTCTGATTGCACCATATATAATTGTTCAATGTATGCCAGTGTTTGGTTTACTGGTACATTCTAGCATCCTGCCGTTGTGTATATGTGTGTGTGTGTGTGTAAATTGCTGATTGCTAAAGAAGTGAAGCAAGACAGCTTTTATTTATCATCAGTCATTATATAGTGATTCAGCCATATGTTGTTTCACACTGGAATTAAAGCATTTACATTAACCTCATTTCAAAGTAAGACTGTCAGCAGTGCTTTTAGGACAACATGTTTGTGTAGTATTTTGAAAATGTATTAAATAAAATATTAGCTTTTTCCTGGACATATGTTTTGCTTTTGCAGACGTCAGTTTTAATGAAACGACTTAAAAATGATCATGTCGTGTTGCACTTAAAACCTGAAACAGTATTTGCACATCCAAATTCAATAACTTAGAACACTAATAAAAAGCTTATTTATTTCAACGTATAGCTCTATTCACTAGTGAATATAGATATGCATCATTTCCGCTGATTGGTGTTTACAGCCTTAATTTCTATTTACTATGATGATTTTATTATTATTACTACTACTGTTATTAATACTACTATGATTAATACACATTTCAGATTAGAATATTACATTAAACCAATAAAAAACATAGTTAATGCAGAATAGAGGGCTTAATGAAAATTATGCTTAACACCACCATAAAGGTTATTTCCAGCAGGTAGTTTTAATCTGACAAGCCTCATCAAAATGCATATTCTAATTTACTGAATATTACCATACACAATAGGCACATTACGTTTTTGTCTGGCAATAAGTCAAAATTACATAACTGATCAAAATTTTCAAAGTGTGCTTGTTGGCATTACAGCAGGCACAAAGGATCTGTGTTTTTTTTTTTTCTATCAGTACATTATCATGAAGAATATTGTCACATCTGTGTAATTCTCATTCATGTTTGGGATTTTAGTGTTTTACCACAGTAAAACCAGAGTAACCGTGACATCTAGTGGCATGATTTTGAAACTGCAAGACATTTTGAACATTTGAGATGAAGATTGCTGCGTCAACAAGGGCCCTCAATAACATGAGCTGTAAGCTTTGTGATAATCACTTGTCGTTGTGACAATCACAACTAATACAAAAAAGTTGCCATTTTTGCATTAGTTTTATTTATTCATTTTTGTGTACAAAACCTTACCACTAGCTGTTTTACAAAGATAATTTAATTCATTACATGTATTTTATTAATAATATGATGTGCAACAACTGTTTTGCTCTGAACATGAACTTACTGCCCAATACCAGCTGATGCAGCACAGGAAAGTGGAACCTAGATCGGTAGCCTCTGCTCAATCCAATAACACGATCAGACTTGGGTCTGATATTAATATTCGACTCCAACCAGGATGTATTTTTCTGCTTCAAATGTGTTTTAATTGTGTAGGAATAACAAGATTTTTTGCAGCATCAAAAACTGGACAGAAATGCTTTGGGTCAGATTTCTTGAAGAAAAAAAACTGAGTAAATTTTCATTTAGTCCTGCTGCAAGTTAAAAGAGATTAAAAAGTGCATCTATGTCAAATTAATTAAACATTTTAAAAGTAGGTTTTCCAGAAACATCAACCACTCATGAATGTTTTCATCCAAGTTGCTCCTGAAAGTTATGTTGTGTGTTAAGACTTTATTACAAACTTAACAGAAATTATATCAAAAATATCCACAACATTAAACAAGCAGGAAACTCTGTGGTTTACAGGCGGTAAAAAAAATAAAAAAAAATAAATAAAAAAAACACACAAAAAACGAGAGAATTCTTGTGAAGCGTCCATCTTTATAGTCCACATAGTCGACCGGAGTCACTCTTTGAACTTCCACTCCTGACGACACATGGGGCACTGCTGCTGGACTTGCTGGGAGTTCAGCCACTTCAGGATGCAGTGCATGTGGAAACAGTGAGAGCACTGACCCCAGACCAGCGGGCAGTCGTCTCCAGGAACTTTACCTGCAAAATAAGAAATATATTACAAAACCATTAAGAGTGCACACAACAGAGGTACATAATCTGAACCCATAGATACAATGCTAAATACTAAGCCTTTATTTCAGCGTATGATGTTATTGGCAGTCATTGCACCATAAACAATGTCATAGCAACGTTTTTCAGATACTACTGCTTGCTGTTGACAATAGGTTGGTTCTAAAGTATTTAGCCTCCTTTTTCAAGCATTTTTGATTGGCCTTTAAAATTACGAAAAGAAAAGACTTACTGCAATGTGGATTGATCTCAGCTGATAAGGTTAGTACAGAACTGGCCATCTTTTACAAATTAAAGAAAATATAATAAACTTTACAGGGCAGCTACATACAGAATGTTCCACACGAATGTATTTTGAATAGTTAGACACCCATACAGTTTATTTAAACTTTGCTATATTAAAACGCGATGTCCTAAGGATACAAAGGACCTAGTGCCTGTTCAAGTTGTTCAATATTTAGCCCGGTCTTATTTATTTGTTTCGCTATTTATCACTTAGATGTGGTAACAATTCTTTTATCTAATATGAGCATTAGGGTTTCATAAAAATATTCAAATGAATGAGTTTTATGAGTTGTAAGGAACTTAAGCTAAATGTTTAGAACATGAAGGGTATTTGGACTTTAGGCTAACATTAAGTGGTCAAGTAGACAGGCAGTATGTAGGACAGCAGCCCCCTGCTCAGGTACTCACAGTCCGGACAACATCCGTTGAAAGGCATCCTGCAGATGCCGCAGTTTTCATCGTTAGCCACCCAGGACCAGGAGGCCACTCCGTTCCACTGCCTTATCTTCACCTTCATTCTCTCCGAGCTGCTGTTCAAACCCGAGTCAAACACTGCGGTTCACAGTCCAGCTTCTCAATAAATTACATGTCAAACATAAAACAATTGGACTCTGGAAGTAGTATAGATTAATTCTTCGTTAATCAGCTACATTGAATTGAAGACTTCTTCTTCTTCTTCTTCTACTTCTTCTTCTTGAGCTTTTTCTTTTTTTGTTTTGGCGGTTGGCTGGCAAACAACTTTTAGGTGCATTACCGCCACCTTCTGAATTGGAGTAGGAATCATAAATCTGTTTCTTACCACCGCATTCTTATCTATCTTATTTTATTTTATTTTATTTTATATTTTTATTTATATATATACTTTAAATATGGGCCATTAGCTGGTTCCCAGGATGCCAGGAGCCAAACCCTACAAAGGAAAAATAAGAAGTCGTTCATCCTCCTACCAGAAGGGGCAATATTTTGGAGGAAGTAAGTAGAAACCAAACGGCCTTTTTCCAGCATAACTTCGGTTTCATTCGTTTATTACATGATATTGCAGAGTTAAGCGCATTAATTAATTGCTTAATCGTGTTTAGGCGTTTTATTTTAACTTTAAAGGAATACAACTACTTCAAGAAAGTGGAGTCATCCCACGTAAACGGTAATTTAACGAGATAGTATTAAGTAGATGCATAAACAAAACTCACCTCATTCTTACAGCAACCCATTTTAAATTGATTAAACTAAATGCATTGCTTTCGTCTTAAATCATCAGTCTGTTACTTACAGTTTATGTTACATTTGTAAAGTTTGGATCTTCACACTATATCGCATTTGACCTCTGAACGGTTAGCTTCATTTTAGCTGAGGAGCACCGCTGAAGTTAGCACCCAGTTCAGCACAGCCCCGTCGGCTAGAGAAACTGATCCTCGTAAGGAATTTGTACCATTTAATTGACAATGGTGGTGAACGGACTTAGAAGTTATTCTGCATTTCTTGCATATTTTACCATAAAGTTCGAGATATGACAACCGGTTATTCTGTTTATGAACTAACAGAATTGGTCAACTTCAATAAATGTTATCTTACATTTCAACTAGGTGCAATGTGTAACTGGAGTCCTTTATAAGGATAATTTGTTAGATGACTAATGTGGAGCTTGTAGCAACACACTCACCATGTGGGCAGCAAAACCATGAATGGGTTGTGGACATTCACCTTATGACCACTGTTAGTAACTGTGGAAGGTCTGTCATGCTGTGGGCCATTTTGATTTTTCTTCTTTTGCTAGTGCAAGGTATCAAGAGCAGGATATGAGTGAAAATCTGTTGTACTTTGCCAAAAGGGCCTCCATTTGGCCTTTCAAAAGAATAGTGGTCTAACATAGATGGAAATGGTTCATGAGACACAAAATAACCTTTCTTTTTTTTTCCCCTTTCTTTTTAGCCTTAAATGTGAAAGGATGTATTCACAAGGATCTGACTACAGCTACAGGCGGCAGGATGGTGACAGAAATTCAAGACAGAAGTGGGATGATTATGATGACAGACGGGAAGACAGGCACAACTACTGCAGTAATACTCCTCGGGCCTCTTATTATAAATACAGCAACGAAGGACACGGTAGCACAACCAGGTCAAGCAAAAGTCAAGATTACAGCTCGTCTCCTAAAACACTCTGCAGCTCAGATTCAGTAAGCAGAGAGTGGAGTAGAAAGAGCCCGGTGAGGAGGCGTTTGTCCCCACCTGGTTGGGATGTGCCTGAAGTGAAAAGGCGAAGGCAAACAGAAGAAGGTGATGTGGATTATAGATATAAACGGGACTCCCCAGAGAAAGCTCACAGGCTGTCACCAGCAAGTTTTTCACGTAACCAGCAGTTAGGATATTCGTCGTCACATGAAGATGATGCCAGATACAGGAAAATGTCGCCATATTCCAGATCCAGGAGTCAACGTGAAGAGTTGCCTCACAAATACCAGTATGAGGATTTCTGTGACAGAGATTTATCTGATCGTTTCGAAGGAAGTGCTTATCAGAATAGGAGACCTGAGTATTCGCTAGAGAGGACCCTCTCACCAGACGACACTACAAAGGTCAGTTCTGAGTTTTAATGCTCTTGACAGACATTACATTTAAAATTAAGTTCATTTGATGAATAAAAATGTTCAAATATGTAATAGATTCAAGCCAAGAGGAGAGAGAGAATACCCAACCCCTCGACATCCGGGTATTATGATGAATATTATGAAAGCAGAACCACGGTGCCTCTAAATGGATCCAGTGGACAGGTACGTTGTCTTCTTAGGTGTTTTTTTTTTTTCACTTTAGCTTTTTGACCACAACCAGAAGACCTGAGTGATCTGGAAGATTGATATGACAGCAGCTGTATAATATATTTTGAAGCCAAACCATTCAGTGATTTCTAAACTAACAACAGTATTTTAAAGTCTATTCTCTGGCCTGCGGGGATCCAGTGTAGGGACTTTAGGACCGGTTTGATGTGCTCTATCTTCTTGGTTTTAGTGAAAATGTGAGCAGCGACGTTCTGGATCAGCTGCAACTGTCTTAATTATTTTTTTAAGCAGACCTGTAAGGACACTGTTGCAGTATTCAATGTGACTAAAGATAAATGCATGGTTGAGTTTCTCGAGACGTTTTGTAGAGACGTTAGTTATTTAATCCCAGAAATGTTCTATCAGAAGACATGATTTTATTCTGATAGAAGGGTGACTTTGAAATTGTCTTCATGTGATAATTGTCTTTAAATTTATCTGTTATGTCTCTACCAGATACCTAATCAAATCTATGCTTTCTTGTGAGTTAAATTGGAGTAACTCAAGCAGGCTGGAAGGCCAGTTTCTGGGGCTAGTAATGTGTTCTTTTTAGAGGACTTGTGATTCCTGATGTGCAATGTAAAACAGCACTATTTACGTTTTTCTAACTAAAATGTAAAGTTCCTATTTTTTTCCCTTGCGTGACAACTTTAAACACGGAAACATTGCTGCAGTCTTATTCATTTCTCTGTGATCAGAAAACGTCAGCAGAATATCTGCCTCATCATTGAAATAATGTTTTGAATTCTAAAGTTGTGACTTCTGTGTTTCCCATCAGTCTTTTAAAAGCGACGCCCCTCCACAGAGAGCCGCACTCCCTGACGACAAGTCGTCCAAAGGCTTCCAACGCTTTCTTGAGGTGCTCAACAAGGGCGTGAATGTTGACGTTCTCACCCAGATAGTAAGTCAGAGCCCTACACCACAGTGTGATGGGCCCATTATTCCGAGGTCTTTTGTGAAAGTTGCAGATCAACAGTGGTCTCCCAGTTGCACTGAGAGGCAACAGAAATCATACAAAGACAACAGCTACTGGAACGAAAGCAAGGGCTCCCTCGGATCGACATCTCCGCTTCATCATCGGTCCGCTAGTCCAGACAGGAATGTCGTGTCTGTTGGCAGCAAATCCCCTTCGGTGGAAAAGACGACTATGACACCTGAAGATGAGCAAAAGCGCAAGCAAATGCAAGACGTTTTGCAGGCTATCGGCGTGGATTTGGGATTGGAGGAGCTCGGTCAAATGTCCCATCGAATCCAGGAGCGTCTTTATGGTAAGAGGGATAACGAGCGTGGCCGCAGATTAAGTAGAGAAAGAGGTGTTGGACAGACATTCACCGAGGGACGCAGAAGTAGATCGTCGTCAAGCAGCTCTAGTTTTAGCCAACCACGTCAAAGTTTTTATACAAGGAGAGACTCCTTAAGCAATCCAAGGGACGAAGCAGACCTGCAGCGATCTGAACGCAGTCCGGAGTTAACAAGGAGGATTTTTGAGGATGGTCAGAGCAGTGAGGAGAGTAAAATAAGCACAGTGAAGAGCATCCCTGTACTGAATGTTTCTTCCAAACCTATCCCTGCTGCAAGGCAACCTTCTCCGGCACTGATGTCTCCAATGTCTCTAATTCCTCCAAGGCTACCGTATACTCCCATCAACCACCCACCACCGTCATACCCGACTGTTCCTCCACCTCCGCTTCCTTTCCTTCCTCCTGCCGGACCAGGAAGTTTCCTTCCCCATGTGCCTCCCATGCTCCCCCATCCTCCCTTTCCACCTCCAAATGTCTTTCCTCCGCTGCACCCTCAGGGGAGACCGTCATTCTCACCGAACCTGGAGCTTTGCAATCCAACAAACATAGATGCTCAACCGGCCATGAAAACAAAGCAAATATCAAGAACACAAGGAAGGCCCCGCTTCCTGCAGGTTATTAAGTAAGTGTGATATGTCATTGTTTATATGCTTTTTTTTATTATTATTATTTGGAAAACACTGAAATAGACGTAGTTTGTAGCTTTTTCTTATTTGTTTTGTAAAATGCACAAAACAAACAATGTAACCTGGTTGGAGGTAATTTGTAAAAAAAAAAAATAAAACTGTTCAGTTAATGGTCATAAAGTAAAGTAAATAGATTTTGCTTGAAGTCATCGTTTCCACCTAAGAATGACACATTATTGCATTTGATGAAAGAGAATAAACACTGGACATCTATCATAACTAAACCAGCAGTTGAGTTTAGTGCGTAAAGATTGACATCTGTTTGGTATCCAAAGTTAATAAATTCTGAATTCTGCCATGAGTCCAGCTCTGGCTTAGAAAAATGTTCTTTTGCATGCATATATTTCTTTTTGGGTTTTTTTTTTGACTGATTTTGCTAACATAAAGAAAGACTATTGAATTGTCTTGTCAGGTTTACCTCATTATTTGTGAGCTTGTAGTTGCCACTTGTTTAATAATATGAAGTGTACAACATTAAAAAGTTTTTCAAAGGAAACTTTGAATCATTTGTTCTTTGATTACTGATTTTTTTTAATGCAGTGAAAGTAGGTGTTCTTTTAATAACAATACGGTCTTGCAATTGTTAGTCCATATTGCTATTTTTACCGTTGTCAAGACTAAAAAAATTCTGCAGTTTCCACATACATTTCTTTTTCAAATGTGGTTGAAAGCAGAAGTAGTGACTGGCGACAAGCAAAAGCTGTCTTGTCTAATCAGATATAAAAGCTAAATTGCTAAAGAAATTGATATTGGTTCTGGTAGAAAGGTGTCAGTCTGGTTAGTGTATCGCAGTTTGTTGCATATGGAACTGGATGACCCCAGAACATTTAGGGCGCCAACGCTGATCCTTGATCATGGTTGCAGAAATAATGGAAGCAAGAGCAATAGAAATATGCTTTATTATAATCAAACAAGCTGGCCTGATCTGATTAAATACTTTTTTTTTTTTTTTTTTTTTACATCATGTGGATAATAACCAGGTGGCGGCACTCTGCTTACCTCAGGGATAAAAGATGCACCAGAGGAATTACACAACCATTTGAGGCACTGTGATACTTTGGGGCTGTTCCTTTGACGTATGCAACTTACCTTAGCATTTTGGCAGTGTACACTTGACGTTGATAAATTGCCTTGATTTCTTTCAGCAGCTTAATTATCCCAAATGGCAAATTTGGTGCAGGATTGCAACAAGTTCAAGTTGTCCTATCCTATCCGGTTTTTTAAGGTCTTGTTTTATAATTTGCAGGATTTAAAGGATATGCTGATAACATCTTCGTGCTTAACCTCTACTCTATCATGTCATAATGTGCCTGATCGGTGTGTACACTTGGTACAGTATTAACAATAACAGGAAACATTTTTATTTTTATTTATACATTCACTTTTCAAGTACACATACACTTTTTACCATTTTTTTTGTATAATATGTTTTGTGAAATATGCATCCTACTTTACTGCTATTGGTATAGCTATGGTCATTTAAGTTTTTTGGGCCTCACCAGCTTTTAAAATTAGCTTAATGCAACCTCAGATAAACCATAATGTATTATGCATAGGTCTATGATTATTATTGAGATGCTTATTCCACATGTAAAAGCAGTTTCTGGATAAAAAAAAAAAAGTTCCTCACTTGAAAATCTTGTTAAATCACCTCTAGTTCTAATTGCTTGAAGTAAATGTCTCCTGTATTGTATTTTATTGTCATTTCATTCTGATTGACATTTTGTCTTTAAAAACAGACACAAATTGTAATGTCATGAACCAGTCAATCTCAGGTACATCTGTGTCTGTTTACTGTTTAATATTAGTTGAGGTAAATTTTGTCCTGCTTTCACTTAAAAACATTTTTAAGTTATGACAGGTTTATGGGTTGTTTAACAGATTTTGTATTTATGTAATTTTAACAACTGGAAGGGTTTAGTAGATTTTTTTTCCTGATACTAAAATGACCAATGTATTTAGTTAGCTCATTTAAGAGTTTCAGACAATGAATATTTTTTTCTGTAGGTATCTCTTCAACGTGTTTTTTGCAGTGGTGGTCCTCCAACCACACAGGTGGCGCTATTGAACAATTCTTCTAATTTTTAACGCCTTAAAGATACTCCTTTTGCTCTCAAGAACAGTTTATGGCAAATCTTTTTCCACCAAAGAAGGTTAATTTCGTCTACGTATTGTCACAGCAAGCTATTGTGGAGCTCACTTTATTTATGTTTTTGATAAAAACATCTATTCGGTTGTGTCGCAGATGACGGTTTTCCAACAGAAGGTAAACCTGTTAGCTTCTATGCTATCCTCTCTGTAAACACTTTTTAATCATTTCCGATTTTCCGTTGCCTGTATTTGAACTAGAATCTAATGATGTTATACTTTTATATCTGCTTAAGTCAAACACCGTTCCACCAAGCTAGGCTTTTAATCGCTAATTCTCGAGTGTTTTGGTGTCACTAGCTAAAGTGAATTATTCTGTTTTGAGCGTTTACCTGTGGGGTCGTGATATCAGTATCCTGTGTATGTGTGTCCCGTGTGTATGTATATTTTATGTCCATAGAGCCTCTATAAACTGTGAAAGGCAGTGCGATGGATCCACATGACAATGCATGGAGATTTCCTACTCAAAGGCTGGTGCCAGATCAACAGAGGCTTGGCAATTTCAGCAGGATAGAGAGAGTCCCAGGGATTACCGATCACTGGCAAACAGGCCCTATGTACACTGCTGTCCAGCCTCACAGCGGTGGTGTAGCCTGGAAGGAACCCAGCTCCCCATCCCAGAACTCCCCAGACCCAGACGGAAACCCATTCATCTCAGAGGATGAGGAAGATCCTGAGTTGGCGAGAAAGAAGCGAGAGCTTCAGGAGTTACATGAACAGATTATGCATAAGAAAACCAACATCGCCATCAAAGCAATTGAGATGATTGTGAAGAATCCAGATTCTCCTGATGACCAGGAGTTTGATACTTACAATCCTGAATCGCTTCGAGACAGGGTGACAGAGATATTGCAGCAACGCTCATTCAGCTTTTTCTCCAAGGTAATGTCCATAAAGTTTTATGTGCAGATCTGAGTAGACTTTGATAAAAGTTACATACGCAATTCATACTCATTTTGGTATTAATGTGCTAACCCTAACCCCTCTTTCCAGGTTTTAAGTAATATATAAGCTATGATTGTAATGATTTTTAAAGATAAAAATTAGACAGGCAACTTTTAGTTTATAGTTGGCATCATTCTCTAATCCTAACCCAATCAAAATTAAAGTACGAGTTTAAATACATTTTACTGAGTAGAATAAATTGCTTTGAAAAACTTAGACTGTGTGTAATTTTAAAAGGCTAAGTTTTCATGATTGATTGGAGTCCAAAAAAGTTTAGTTTTTTTTATTGCTATAAAGACCATATTGTTGAGATGCCACTTGCCTAAGGAGTATTTATAAAAATATCAGAAGGTGGATGTATGTATATCTTTTGATCTGGTTTGGATGAGAGATTATCTGTAATAAATTCAAGCAATGATTATTACATCTTCTAATTGTATCTTTTGATCGCCAGGTTAAGTTATGTAAACTAAAAGCAAAAGCCGCCGTTTCGAGAAAAAATGAAGTGAAGCAGCAGCACCATCCACTGAAGCTTAGAGTGAAGGCATTAAAGGCACGCAGACTCAGCGACCCCGGCGTTTTACCGCCCAACAGAGAGAAGGTTTGTATTAAACGTTTTATAAATACAACAAAAAGAAATCCCATCCAGATTACAAAACATGCATTTAAAATGATCTAAAACCTTCTAGAAATGTAGAATATGTATAGACGAGGATAATAGATTTGAAATCAGAATATAACTGTTATCCTTAACAATAAAATTAGTCATCTTACATATGTTCCTCTTATGATTCACTATTTGGGTAAATTATGCACAACCTGACAAAAAATTAATAGTTTATATACACAGTTGCATGTTTTAGATTTAGCTGTTTTAGGCGTTTTAAAAACAAACTGACAGACCAAAAAGGATTTAAAATTTGTTTTTTCTTCTTAGAATTTTTCACATCTGCTTTTATTATCCAGCTGTGCTACCATAATATGAATTTATATGTGTTGTTCCCATCTCCTCACAGAAACCTGTTCGGGAAGAATTGTTTAAAGAAGCTAATAAAATCGCTTTCTCCCACTGTTAATGTGTTTGTAATATTGATGCATGCCTGATGTTTGACAGGTCCTTGATGTTCCTCCACCTCTCACCGCCCGGGCTGTTGCTTCGCCGGCCAAAGAGGAAAGCAACGCTGCTAAGGGCTTCAAACGCTTCCTCAATGTGCTCAACAGAGGAGCCGATTTCAACCTGAAAAACATGGTATATCTGCCGTACGCACATGGATGTTAAAATGTAAAATCGACATCACATCAACAAAAAAAAATAAGTGAATAAAGAATGTCAAATGTATAACAAGGGCTATTACATGCATTGGGTAAACAAAATAAAAATATGCATCCGAATAGAAATGTTAATAACCCCAATTGAGGACAGTGACGTGTAAATGTTTTAAAGTATGTAAAGCAAATTCCCAGTCTAGAGCTTAACCAGGACTCTAGTTTTACTCTAAAGCTTGAAAACCCATAAATGCTGCAACAACAGCAAAGCATGGTGATGGTAGCCTCATGCTGTGGGGATGTTTCAATGTTATTGGTAGTACTGGTATTAGCTTTGAAGTCATAACTGTGTTTAAAGTGGAAAATGATTCCCAAGACAAATGGAATGAATGAAGCACATGAAATGTAACTTCCCTGTCAGATAAAACAACATAATTACTTGTTTTCTCTACATTGATGAGTGTGTGATGTTTCTCAGCTTTCAGATGACCCTCTGCCTCCTCCTGACCACATCATTACTTCGCCTGAAAAGCAGCAGCAGCAGCAGCAGCAGCAGGAGGAGAGCACCACAAACAAGGGATACGAGCACTTACTCACTGCTCTCAAGACAGTAGCAGCAGCAGTCCCTAACATGAAAAAAACGGTACATCGTGTTGGTTTTCACTTGCAGAGCTGTGAAAAAATGTTTGCCCCTTAAAGATTTCTTCTATTGTTGCGTTTTCATTCCACTGGACTGTTTATGTGTTTAATTGGTTTATCATCTAGTGTTAAAATACGTTTGATCTGAAACAATTAAGCATGACAAAGATGCAAAACCTGAAGAAATCTATAATGGCTATGTTTAACAGCACCATATATGACAATTTTATTAAAAGGACAAGAATTGTTCATACAGAATAATGTCGTTTTTCATCAAGTTTTATTGATAAACAAGATAAACATATTTGAACACGATTCCAGATTACGTTAAAATACTGTCACACTGGGAGAGTTGGAGCACCTCAACTCTCTGAAAAGACAAAAGAGAGAGAGAGAAAAACTTAAAGAACAGTCTATCCTGCTAAACGTTGGCTTACTTATTGCCAGATTAGCTACTGTTTTATTAATTTTTATGAATGTGGGATGATTCACAGGGTCCCGACGTCCCTCTGCTGCCTCCTGGCTGCAGCATCACTTCCCCTGAAAGGCAGGAGAGCACCACAAGCAAGGGATATGAGCGCTTACTCAGTGTTCTCAACAGAGGAGCTGCTCCCACCTTGAACACCTTGGTACATCCTGTAGAGTTTTTCTTCTATGTATAAACTAGCATTCGTAGAGTGTTTGATTGTGTACATTTTTAATATTATTATTACAACTTGGATCTAATGAAAACCAAAAATTCAGATACTAGATGCTTGGTGGATATGTTTAATCTTGAGTTGTAATTGTATGTGTGCAAATAGCTTGTGTCATAAATGTATTAAAAACAGCTCAGCATTTTCAGTAGATGTACGTTTCTGGAAGCAGTGGGGTCTGATAGTCGTCACTTAGTTGGACTCTGCTCTGAATTCCCTCTCTGTACTCATCAGAGCTGCGTAAAGATAAACCAACATGGTTAGCTCAGGATAATATGGTATGTCCATCTTCAATTTAAGTTTGTATCAAATATTTCAAGTTTCGTAAGGAAATTAGTTTGTGGAAGATCTGATCGTCAATTATGTTATTATCACAATACCAGCAGAAAATATAGTAATAAAACTTTTAAGTCCACATCACACACCCGTACTCTGTATATTCCCAGATTAAATTTATATTTAATCTATTGTGTGTCTTAATTTTTATTTTTTATTTTTTCAGATCCCTGACGTTTCACTAAATCCTCCCAGCCATAGTGACCCTCGTAGAACAAAGGAGAGCAGAACCAACAAGAGTCCCGAGGGCGAGAGCAGAGCCAGTCGGGGTTCTGAGCATACCGGGCAACATTCTGAGAGTAAGAGCAGCGCAAGCAGAAAATCTGAGAGCAAGAGCAAAGCTGACAGGCGTTCAGACCACGAGAAAAGTGAAAACAAACATTCTGATCTCGAGAAAAGTGTCGACAAGCGTTCTGACCGCAAGATCAGTCCAAAAAGAGGCGATGAGGGCAAAACTGGTGACAGCAGAGCTTTTGAGCACAAGAAAAGTGTTGACAGAGGCTCTGACCTCGAGAGTACCATCAGCCGACGATCTGAAGTCAAGAGAAGAAGTTCTGATTGTACAGACGGAGCTGATAGAGGTTCTGAGGACGCGAACAACCTTAACAGACCTTCTGAACACAAGAGCAGTGTCCACAGAGTTTGTGAGCTCGAGAGCAGTGCGGACCAAGGTTCTGGGATTGAAAAGATTCTCGACAGAAGTTCTGAAACCAAGAGGAGCGTCAGCAAGGGCAGCGTTGATCGACTCCTTGAAGGCGAGGGCAGCATGAAAGGAAATTTTGAGTCCGATAGTAGTGCAAACAGAAGTTCTGGGCACACGAACAGTGGCGACAGAGCTTCTGAGCCGGAGAGCGGTGTCAGTAAAACTCTTAAAAGTGAGAGCGAGAAGAACAGAGGTCTCAAGAGCAAGAGCAGCTATAACAAGGGTTTTGAGCGCTTTGTGAGTCTGCTCAACAGTGGAGTGGACATCACCAAGCTCAGTAAGATGATCAAAGATGAGGTAGATGATCTTCCAAAAACCTCTCCCGCTTGTTTGAAAACGGCCCCCAAGAGTGAAAACCAGAAGTCCGACACTGGACTCTCGCTGCCAGGCTGCAGTGGGATCAGCAGCGTGAATTCAAAAACTGTCAAAAAAGAGACGTCCTTGCCTGAAGACGTTGAGGTAAAGACGGTTAAAAAAAGGAGCAGTTTGTACTCCGGTAGTCAACCAGAGCTTGCCCTTGAAGTGAAAAAGAAGAAGGAAGAGGAAAAGGAAACCTTGGGAATAGATGAGAAGCAGAAACAAGTGCAGAGCATTCTTAAAACGTTGGGTTTGAATCTGGACGTGGAGGAATTGACCAAACTAACAGATCGCACTCAGCAGAGGCTGTATGGAAGGAGGAATGAAGGTAGGGAGACGAGCGAAAGCAGGATGGAACAGGAAAGTCAGCGTTCGCTCTCCCATAAAAAACACAGTAGGTCCCGCTCCTCAACCTCCTCCTCTTCGTCGTCCTCTTCCTACTCTTCCTCTTCCTCCTCAACTTCCTCTAGATATGCCTCTAGAAGCCGTAGTCGGAGCCCTCGGGGCCGCCGGCGTCGGCGCTCTCGCAGCAGAGACGCACATAGACGTTCTCGTGACAGAGGCAGAGACGGAGGGAAGCGGCACAGCAGGACTGAGGCCAGTAAAGACGCCCAGAGGCCCAGTTACAGAAACCAGCAACATCCTTTTCCTTCTCCTTATGGCGCTCCTTCCACGTATACCGATTACAGTTTGTACCAATATGCCCAGTATATGAACTACTACAATGCCTACAACAGTGCTATGAACTCCAATTGGGTATTTGATCCAAATCAGAGTCACGCGCTGCCGTCCCGTTCACAGTGGCACTCGGTATTAGGAGATATGAGGCGTCCCAACCAACCTGGACAGATCTCGGTTAATGACTTCATGCTGTTCATGAATCCAGACTTGTCTGGGAGTGAAGGTCAGAGCAACGAACCCTCTGGTTCTCGTTGCCTCACGGTCATCAATACTACACCATCTTCTGCAAGCAGCGTGACGGGAAATCAATGGATAATGAATCATGAGCGGAATCTGTTGGAGTTGAAAAGAAAGAATCATAAAAGAAAGAAAAGAAAACAATCTGCAAGTTCAACTCAAGATTTGCCGCCGAAGAGAACTGTAGAAAAGTCTATTGAGAAAAAACCTGCAGAGACATTGACTGCAGGGAAAAAAGCCTCAGAAACGGTTTCTACAGCGAACAAAACCCCAGAGACGGTCGCTATGAAAGAAAAGGTTGCAGAATCGGTTGTTATGGAGAAAAACGTTGCAGAAACGGTTGCTATGAATAACATAGTTGCAGGAAAGAAAACCATCAACTCTAAGACCTTAAACCCCACACCTTCACAGGGTAAGACTCTTGATAAGATAGCCAAGGTAACAGAAGAGAAGAAACGTCACCTTACAGAGGAGAAAATAAAGGCTAACCTGAGGGAAAAGGTAAATTTACTTTTTTTCGTTTTATTTATTTATTTATTTTTTTTACCTTTTTCAATTGCGCTGACAGATTTCCATTATTCTTCTTCAGAAGTATTCCAAACTATCCATCAGATAATTATACCTTAGATCAGTGGTTCCCAGCCCTAGTCTTGCATGTGTAAGATGTCTGTCTGGTCCACCACACTTGATTGGACAGATTGATTTACCTTCTCAGCCTGCTATCATGATCTACAGCAGCGTTTTAATGACACATTCGATTAAATCATGTGTGACACCAGAGAAACATCTACAGCGCAAGTTCTCATATCAAGGGTCCCAACTTTGTCCCAAAGTATTCCAGATCTGGACAAATACTGAAATAACAGAGTGTGAATTTTTTTCTTCTATATTTTCTCTCATGTTATTTAAAGGGTATAAAACTGAAATTTAAAGGATGAAGGTTCCTTCCTCGATTTTGTTATTTTACATCCTTTTACATTTTATGAATAACCAGAGAAAAGCACATATTATAAAAGTTGTTACAAGTGATAAAAATCATAGAATTGAGCTGCACATTTATATTGCCGCTGTAATAACAGCACAAATGTGGATAACAGAAAAGGAGCATGGAGGACTTCAGTGTTCTTCTTTCTTTATGTCATGTCTGTCCAATGAGAGCAATGATCGTCAATCGCGTGGCTTTGTTTACAAACTATAGTCTGCTTGCAAAAAACGCAGTGTGCGAAAACAAACTGCACCAAATGTAAAAGATTTAGTCCGCTTTTGGTCTGAACCAAACAAGCGGACCAAAACACCACAAGTGTTAAAGTAGAGCTGATTTAACTTGATGTTTTTTTATTATTATTATTTTTTTTTTTTTTATACTGTTCTTTTTTATTATTTGCTTTATTTTTGTATTTAATGTCCAGTTACTGCTGTGGAACCACTGATGTGAAGTATTTGCCCCAGTCTCAACAAAGCTCCACGTTTAGTATGATTGTGATTAATTATTTCAATTGTATCAGGTCATGTGTAAGTTTTAAGATGCATTTAGTTATCAATAAAATTCACAGCAGATTATTTACTGGAAGAAGTATGAATTATATTTATATACACACACACACACACACATACATCTTTGCCAGACAGTACAAATATTTCTGCAAAATCTTTTTGTAGCTTCTGGAGTTTAACCGGAAAGCGAAGCTGCTGACACAACCCAGCTCCAACATCAAGCCATCAACAGACTCCCTGGACTCTGAGCTCCTTTAATGTAAGTAAATTACATGTCCAGCTCTGTTATGTCCTTGTATTTTCTTTCATGGCTTTACTGGGTCAAAGTTAATGCCGCTTCATCTCTATATTTAGGTTTATAGTAGATTGTGTTGTTCAAGGTGACGTGTGTGTGAAATTCTACAAAATATCAAAGTACTTATTTTATATTATTAATTTGAGTATAAAAATCTAATTTGCTTAGAAGTAACATTGAAAGCTATGTGTTCATGCTCTGCGTGTTTTCCTCTTAACCTTTTCCATGAACAGTGGAAAGTTAGTCAGACCTCTCATAGCCAAATAGTAATTAACCTGAAATTCAGCAGTTTAAAACTATTCCTTTAATTGGAAGTTAATGTGTTGCAGAGACGACTTGTTTCATTTTTGGCTTAGGATTCTGAAATATCAATCCTCCCATCCTCCCGTTTCTTTTAAACTGTTGCCATAATTTTGACAAAACCTGATATTTCCTGACTTTAACGAAACTAATGTTTTATTTATCTTTTTTTATCTCATCCATAAAAAAAACAACGGGAGTTTTAACAGATCAAATTTGATTAATGAATTACGACGATTTTAACTGGCTAAAATTTTAATGCAGTTAATCTCTGTTTTTGTCTATATGGTTTTATATTAAAATGCAATTAAATACATTTTACATGTAACTCAATTAAGAATGTTAAACAAGTCCCACCACTAGAAAAACACTGAGAATTGCCATGCTTAAACTCAACATTTAACCTTTGAACAAGCCTCCCATTCTAGGCAAACTTTGACAAGGGCATCTGTGTGTATATGCAGTATAATGCAACTCTTAATTGTTTGTTTTCTTTGCTTTCAGGGATCTGTAGAAACTCTCACATCCCCTGTGGATCATTGACCTTCATTTCAGTTTTACATAAACCTTTTGCTACTCCCTGTTCGAGCTGAATCCTCCTCTAAATGACTTAAGTAACTGAAAACTTCCTCGAAGAATTTACTTCTTAAGTTCTTCCTAGTTTATATCAAGGTTTTTACTTTTGTTGCCACTAATTATGTTATGTTCTAACATTTATTTGCTGGTTCTGTTATAGTTAACCTTATTTTGTTGCCTGAAGTCTTTTAGTTTGTCTGGTTTTCCCTAGTAAAATGTTTAAATACTGTTTAAATGATTGTGGATGTTTGATTTATTTAGTTATACTGTCATTTTGAGGTGCTACTTCTAAAAGTCTTCACTACTTTAGAGTAAAACTCCAAGGGCAAAGATGGTCTGTGGAGCTTGCCTGTACAACCAGACAATAAGCTGAATGTTTTAAATTGGAGAAACGTTATATAACTTCAGAAAAACGTATTAAATATGTGGGAAATGAGAGGCTTGTCTCTTTAAACTCAATAATTGCTGACTAATTGTAGAATATGATTTTTTTAGTTTCCAATTCTTTTTCTGTTTTTTTTGTTTTGTTTTGTTTTTTTACTAATGGACATGTGAATCAAGTTAAACCCAGAGACTTGGATCTGTAACTACAATAACATTGCCTCAGCAAATATTCACTTAAGGGTACCAAATACATGTGCAAGCCACACATTTCAGATTTCTATTCCTATAAAAGTAAAATTCTAAACTACTTTTTATTGGTGTTCAGTGTAACACATTGACGTTTGTATTTTCACAAAGCATTACTTTTATGAATTTAACAGCAGAAGGAGGTAAGTTTATATTTGGCATTGTGCTCCTCCAGTGTAAATTAAAATTTGCAAAAGATGTGGAGGGGGTTAACTTCTTTGAGTGCATACTGGATTGTAGGCAGTATCACATATGAGAGAGAGTAAAATGTCAAGCGATCAGGATATAGGTTTGTGTTAAAAATATTTCAGTTTCCATTACAAAAACGGCAGGAAATTCAATTTTCTGGTTGAGACTTAAAACAGGAAAACTTCCTGGTGGATCATATTGTTTCACTACCAGTGTTGAGCTTGTTTGGTTCACACAGTGAAAATAAATCAACTGTACTCAGAGTAATTGAAGAAGGGGGGAAAAAAACATGTCATTTTTTTTAATTACTTTTCCCCCTTTTATTTACCTCAAATAGATCAGACTGTTGTTACTGACGGCTCCAGGTAATAAATGGAAAGTATCGTTTATTAAATGAAACTCCTGTTTGAATTTTTACATTTTTATTTTACGCACATATTTAACACTTATTTATGGGTTATAACATGAAAGCTCTTCACAGATCCATAAGAGTTCATGTTGAAACAAAGTCATCTCACATGGCGCTCAAAACAATACTGACGTTTTGCTGAATAATTAGTTTTTAGGAAAACAAAGACAAGAAGGTTCAAATAAATTACTCAAGCAGTCATGGGCATATTAAACACTCTACACCATCAAATATGATGCGTCTCTGTGCTTTCCCGTGGCTCTTGTGGAATAGCAACATGTCCATGGTTTACAGTTCATCTTTCTCCTCTCCTGGGCAGTAGCAGGCCGCTCTCTGGCTGTTCATGTAGGGTCTGCAGCCCAGAGTCCACACTGTGTTGAACAAGGTGTCGGCTACTGTCTCGCACGCTGAGGATGAAACGAGCAATGAATGAGCGGAGATTGGCGCAGAAAACTGAAGACATGTTGTCTGCCACAAGTTGCAGTGATTTATATGTAGAATAAATGCAGGAGATGTATGACCTCAGTAAAAGGGAAAAGGCAACCTTTTGCTCTTAGACCTCTGCAGTTTCTCACATTGTTATGTTATTATTTTTTTATATATATTTCTTGGAGGTTTAAAGTAAACTTTTACCTTTTACCTACTGGTAACTCTTCTAAACTGGATGTACTATTAAACGATTCAGTACAGAACAGAATCTGATAGATGATTAATGGATGTTAGCTAAAATTAGGGTGATGGCAAAGAGGCCTTCCAACCTCAAACACATCAACAAAGATGAATCAAACATGAAGTCGGTCAGCCATGCTTGACTGTAATTGAAAAGGATCTAAAAAAGAATTAGTAACTTTTTTTAAAAATGTATTTTTTCCATGGATACTAAATTGTTTTTTCTTATAAGTCTTGCCGTTATCGCTCCTTGGCATTGGGTAAACTGCAAGTGCAAGTTTACTCCCAAGTTCCTTCTTCCCATAGTTTCTGCATTTAGCTCCAAGTTAGCTAAATAAAGGATGGCACGTTTTAATAAGCTGTGTTGATTGTCAGCAAAGGTTGTTAAATAAATCAAAACGGCTTCGCTAAACAATAGAGAAAATGCAGACCGCTGACCTTCGACTTTGGACACGAAGCCGAGGCTCTTCTTGAGGTCCGAGCAGATGCTGTGGAGACACCAGCGAAACTTGGAGTCGCAGCGGTACTTGTTGGAGCCGCAGGTGTCGTAACACATGTCCAGCTGATTGCAGCACTTGGTCATCGCTGGGATTCCCACATCCATCTGGCACAAACACACAGGGGAGTATGATTTCATGCAGCTTCAAAAACCACCGAGGTTTTATCGCAGCAACATAACCTCACACTGAAAATTATTTACTATTAATAAATTATTTATTTATTAATAGTAAATTCACGCCTTTGTGTCACTAAAGCAGTCGGGAAAGTTTTTTTTTCTGTCATGCCACTCACATCTGAAATATGTTTTCGCAAATTGACTTTCTCAAGGGAATTTACAAGAATTACATTATAAACAAAATAAAAAAATACACATGGATGGGATAGTAATGGGAAAAACAAATGTGTTGATGTGATTCAATCATTGGATTTTTCTCAAATCTTCAGTGAGATTATGCTTTTTTTGTACAATTTTATCAGGCTCCCACAGTTGTCTGCGCCTATATATATATATATATATATATATATATA